TCCCTTCGATTAAACTATAAGTTTCTCAACACCAAGCTGAACGGGGATAGGTTCCTCACATTGAGCTACAATTGCCTCCTCTGCTACAATCCAACCCTTATTATTGGACTTTGTTTGTTCAATCTCTTCACAGCAACTCTGACAAAATCAAAGACACGAAAATATATATAATAGGCACCAAAAGACAAGTTCAAAAGATTTAAACCTACATCCTTCCACGGAGTAAAGATCTAATCTCTAACTGCAAACCTAGTAGCCTACAACTAGGCTGCATTTTATAATAAGTGGGCATTGGGCTTATATAACTAGGCTGGTACACACTACCGATACAATTGACATCCAACAGCTTATCTATCACTGTAAAACCTTTCATTTCTTATATTGTAAAACTTGGGAATAGTTATCCAGTTGGCTATGGAAAATACGAACCTGTGAACAAGTATATACAATAAGGGTCATCCAATCCCACTTTTCCACCAGATGTCTTTGGTCACCAAGAGCTTCATGTAGAAAGTATAATAGTGGAGGCATGAGCTGCATCTCAAATTGCCTCGGTCTGCCACAGAGCCCGCAGTTGCCAGGGTCTATTTCATCAGCTGCAGCTAAAATTGGCCTCCCACCATATGAATATCTACACAGGGAAATAATAAGACAAAAATGATATCAAGCCCCAAAAATAGGAGGACGCAGAGAAAATGAAAGATTTGATGGCATGAAAAATATAAATAATACAATGATAGCATTAATTCATGATGTATTTAAATACCCTCAGCCCGAATGCTTCCCCACTCAAAGAGAAAAAATGGATGGAAAACACACTTTGTCCAGCTTCCTCAACTCAGGTGGGTATATATATAAGTATTATTGTGTAAAGGCCAGCCCAGCCCAGGTACAAGTATTGAAAGTCCCAATGAGTAGAGTGACTAAAGAGAAATTATACATATGTGGTAAAGGTTGAGCAAATAAATTATCAACACGCCACATCCGAATCACACACTCTCCAGTTAAAAGTCAAAGCCAACTGGTGCTATTTTTCAAGTCCCTACAATTCTTTGGCTTTCAATGAAGAAAGTGAATCCAGCAGTAATTGAAAGCGAAAGAAGGGCTTGAAATGAAAATAAGGCCTACGGGTGAGGCAGTCACCAAATGACGATTTGCCACATACATACATAAATACATACCTAAAACACTGCTCGGGATTGGCATCCAATCGTTTCTTGAACTTGAGGTAGGTTCTATCAGCAGTCAAAGCTTTATCATACTCATAATGTTCCTTTTCCCATGTTTCTTCCGCCTGAGAAGGATCCTCAACATCACTTCCATTCCCCTGAATAGAAAGCGAGCTAAAACATACAGAACTAAGATCCCCGGAAGACGTCTCTTCTTGCGCATATATATAAAAGCAGGGCACCACTGAAGACAAGCAATTACAACAATTTCAGCACAAAAAAATAAAAGTGTGCTGATTAGCATTTACACAAACAGTTACCAGGCATATCATTTAGAGCCAGAGTTGTTGTTGGTGGTGAAGAGAGCCTGTTGCGGCGCTTTTTGCGTGGTTTGTTGCGCTTGGTGTTGGAAGCGAGAGTGGCGGCTTGAAAGAGTGCCTTACCCAGCTGTTCCAGATCCATGTCAGCCCCGTCTTCATCATCTGACACGTGGGCAACCGACGAGGGTTGGTTTTGTTGAGAGGTGTCCACGTCAGCAACGCTCTGGAGTCGAAGGACTCGCCAAGAGGTTGTTCCGCATTGGGGCGAGACGCAAGCGAGGACGAAGAGGGTGCGGTGGTGAGAGAGGGGAGCGTAAACCTGCGCGACGAGGCAGAGCTGGGCGGCGCAGGCGGAGCAGCGAAGCAAATCGGCGTTGATGGGATTGGGAAGGGGTAAGTCCTGACACCATAGACCTTGAAATTAATTTCACAGCGTTAAAAAATTAATGTTCGAAGTTAGAAAATTGAGTGGTTGAAGAAGAGAAGGTACAGGGAGTCCTCCAATTTTAGTTGTGAAGGGATCAGCTGGCTCGCGATAATCCTCAGCCCATGCACCCGGCATGCCCAGCAAAGTTGCACCCATTTTCTTCTTCCTCTTACAACCAAAACCTTAGCTTTTCTACTACTAGGGTTTAGTCAAACAACAAGCCATGCCTTTGATTTTACAAATTCCTAATTATTTAAATTGTTTTAGATTTTAATCCGGTCCAAATTTAATACTATTATTTTAAGCTGTGCTTTTTAAAATAATTATATAATTTTTTATTTTATTCAGGTGTCGTCATACAAACACTAATGTCTAATATCTATCATTCTTTTTTCATGTAATATCTGTCATATTTAAGCATGTGTAATATAATTAGCATATTCCTATGTTTCTTAAATATGTAAAGAAAAGTTTAATTTTAATATATTTATATGAAAAAATATCTGCTGTGGAGAGTCAATTTTTTAAATGAATTTATTCTTTGAAAAATCAGTCTCTAATTCTTGACAGGAAATACTCTGAACAATAAAAATTAAAAGATATTTTATATAATATGAAATTATATTCATATTATTTATCTTGAAATATATATCATATAATATAAAATAATTATAATTATATATCTTTTATTTTATAATTTAATTAAACAAAATGTTATTATTGATATATTTTATCGATAAATTGAGTTATTTATTTTGTTCTAAATATTTTAAATCTTTTGTAGATTGATAGGATTCAAATTTAAAAAATTTACCCTAATAAAACTTTTAATTATCTTAATATCTATTATAAGTTACGCAACTAGATTATTATATCAAAAGTCTCATAAGAAAAAAGGAATTTTAATCTCTAGTAACTCATTTGTTTATAAAGTTTAGGATAAGATTCTTTTTCTTTATTACTCATTATGTTTTGTCCTTGTGTTGTAAGTGCTTTAACTTATATCGATAGTATTTAACCTCTTTTGATATTTTGGTCTTATGTCGTAAGTACTCTAACCTTATTAATAGTGTTGTAATCTCTTTTGATGTTTTGATCTTGTATTATAAATATTCTAACCTATACCGATAATATTGTAACGTCTTTTGATCATGTCTTGTGATTAAAAAAATCTCTATTTGCTAGATAAAATTTTACCTTTTCAAAAAAAAATCTAATATAAATTGCATTTTTTTTAAAATGATTTGGTTTTGTTCTAAAAAAGATGATTTGGTTCAATTTTGAGAGTTTAACTTGATTTAAAACTTTTTAAAAACAAATTTAGATAAACTTTATAAGTAAAATGATTCTAACATCATTATATCTTTCATACATAACAAGAACCAATATATAAATATTTTTTATATAAGATAAAATATATTTTCAACAAAAATAAAAATAAAATAATATATCAAATATAGAAACTAAATTTATAATTAAACCAACATTTTGAATAAAGTATTGATTGTCAACTGTCAGTCAAGAATTTCAGTTTCAAAATCAATGCATCCTTAACTTTTTGGCATATTTTATCTAGGGTTTAAATAAACTTATATATCAATGCTTAAATTTAGTCTTTTAGTTATTTTAAATATAAAAAACAAGTCCTTTATTCTTTTTAATTGACATAATCAACTCGTTCCATCTGTTTTTCTTTAACAATGTTATGGGCCAGTTGCTTGCTTTCTTCTATTTATTTGCATTTGGTAGCTGCTAAATAATCCGCCGGGGGGGTAAGGGGATGTCGCCGTTGAGAATCACAAAATGCTGTAATCAACCTTCTATATTCCCGTGAATGAGTTAGTCTATTCATACATGATGATTATACAAAGGCTGTGTAGCGAATCCAATATGCTACCATCACCTTCTGGTAAATTAATCTAAAATGAACCTCTTGTGATGCAATGTAATGGTTCACTCAATTCCATCTCTTCGCATTTTTCACACCCTTAGACTTCTGTTTTGCTGCCTGAAAGGCCTGCATCTTTTGTTTCTTCCGTGCTTCTTTCTCAGCCTGTTATTGCAAAAAGAAAATAAATAAAATCACAAGTTAACCACCACTGAACAAACAAAAGTTTACCTTGGACATCTTGGATTTGGCTTTCACTTTAGGAGCTTTGCTATCAAGCTCTGCCTCGCGATCAAGTGCGCTTTCCCTAGCATCAAGATTCTTCTCTAAATAATACTGCAATTTTTTTATATTCAAGCATGTTAGAAACCTATAATGGGCGATGGAATGGCTGGTCACGCTGTCTTAAACATATCCAAAACCAGATAAGATTTAAATGAGCTATATATGAAACCAAAACATTACAATTCAATGTCTTTTAAATCATTTTGAAAATACAGTATCGGAAAATGATCAAAAAGTTATCATGAATATGGTAACATAATATAAACATTATAAATTTAAATAATAAAAGATAAAATAAAAAAACACGTCCAAGCATAGTTTTTAAAACATCAAAAAAATAAAAATAAAAATAATACAACTAGAAAACACATTGTACTAATGATCAATGAGTTCCTAGGACCCACTTTATCATGGGATAAAGTTCACTTAACCCGTTTTAACTAACTCTAATATTAAAATATAAAGCAAAAAAATTGTATAATATCACACACTTAATGAGCCTCAAAAAGGAGAGGGGCAGAAAAGGGATTAAGGAATAGGAGCTTACATTGTAATCACCAGCATAATCTTGTATAGTGCCATCTTTAATTTCTATCACTCTATTAACTATTTGCTTTATGAAGTATCGGTCATGAGATACTGTGATAACAGTGCCCTCGTATTCATTTATTGCCTCCTGGGAGAAGAATTAGAAATCATCAGGACAGTAAGCTTTATATAACGTGGAAAAGCACACGACATAAGTGAGCCAAACCTCAAGCATTTCTTTAGAAGGTATATCCAAGTGATTGGTTGGTTCATCCAACACAAGCAGAGTTGATGGTTTTACCATGAATTTGCAAAATGCCAGTCGCGCCTAGTAAAACACAAGACAAGATAAATCCAAATATTCATGCATCATCATATGCAAAGAATGAGAATGAGTGGAATAATGCAATGAAATTAGCAAAGCCATTATGTCCAAAGGGTAAGATGGAAACAACTAACCAGTTTAATTAAAAATTATGTACATGTCAGGAGTAAATCAGGACCAACAAAAATTAGAACCATTCACGTATATGCTATACTTGATGCTACAGTGCATGATAGTGAATAAAGGAATGCAAGCATATCAATAAACCCTAGATTATAGAACACATTTATTGGGGCAGGGGCATCACCTCTCAATGTTTTGATGTTGTATGTCTTAATATCATTAAGCGATTACTATTATTCTCAATTCATAATATTTCTTTAAAGACAATCATCTCAAAGCTTCTATCTAATCAAGCGTCTAGTACAAGATTTTCAAAATGTCTATTACATTCAATAGAAAATTCACTCAAATCTGCAGATAACAAAGTAATTCTCAGTTAACTAATATGGATAGCAAACTTGATTCCAAAATATGAATCATTCAGTCATAGAATTAAGTTGGAATTTGAATGTTACATTGCTCACAAATGCTAAATAAATGTCTACTGTAAAAAGATGACAAATCTTGAATTTACCTTCTCACCACCACTCAATAGTGAAACTTTTCGATCAAGCATATCAGATTTAAAATTACAACGCCCAAGAAGCCCTTTAATATCATCAATCCTCCAGTCCTCTGCAGCTTCCTCTACAGTCTCAAGCACTGTCTTCTCCAGATCAAGTGCCTCAGCCTGTTAAATAAATGAAGTTGGTATTAAAAATTTATCAACACAAAGTTTTTGACATGAAGAACCAGAACAGATAGCAAATTCATCAATTTAATTACAATTAGCATTTCCTTGGTTAAAGTGGCACACCTGATTCTGCTCAAAATAGTTAGGCAATACATTATGCTCCCCAAGCAAAAGTTCACCCCCAGTTGGCTTTTCCAAACCCATAATCAATTTCAGTAAAGTGCTCTTGCCACATCCATTTGGACCAATAATTGCAATTTTTTCTCCCCTTTCAATTGTAAGATTTGCCTTTTTGAAAAGTGTCTGGCACAAAAAAACATGATCAGTTGATATCATATAACTATGACATACAGATAGTCAAACATTTAAATGCTCAGGTTTTCATTAATAAGATCATGCTAACTCACCTTATCCTCAAAGCCAAATTCCAAGTTCTTAATTGTTACAACAGATCTTCCACTCCTTCCACGTTCAGGGAACCTGATCTTCATTTGTTTCCGTTCAAATGGCTTCTCCACTAGTTCCTCATCCTGAAGTCTCTCCAGCTTCTGTTTTCATGTAATAAAGAAAGGAAATTATTTTAAGCAAATAGCATAAAAAACAAAAATTAAAATTTCCAATGTGGCAGGATGAATGCAACTAATCTGGGAAATTAACACAAGCATCATGTTTTTAAGTCATCTTAAGTGCCTATTATTTAAGGTTTCCTATACCATGCTAGGGAAAAAAAACATTTATGAACTCCCACCCATTTGCTTAAGCTTTCGGGAGTGTTAATTCTTGACATGGTATTACAGCCTCTTAAATTATAACCAAGTGATTAGGAGTTTAATCTTTGCCACTCTTATTCTTCTAAATTATTCATAGTTGAAGTTAAGCACAAGGTAGGGTGGGTTTTACTTCAAGTCCAAAGAGCTCCGGCATGAGGGACATGTTAGATATAAATTCATTCATGTGCGAAAACTGGTGTTTGACTAACTTATTTAATAAAAAGCATTGACTCGTTCACAACTTATGCAAGTAACAGCATATCTTAATTGAATAGTCAGCTTTGCACCCGTTGATCACATACACATGTACCTTCTCAGCAGATGAAGCACGGCCAGAATTTGCTCCAGCACCTAACCTATTTATCAAGTCTCTTGTCTGCTCAATTTCTTTCTGCTGCTTCTCCCATGCAGCAAACTGTGCTTCAATCCATGCTGCTTTTGAAACTACATACTGAGAATAGTTTCCCTCAAATGTCCTGGATACACCCATGTCAGTTTCCACAATTTTTGTACACAGCTGATCAAGAAAAGCTCGGTCATGAGAAATGACAACCATTGGCACATCCTGCTGGTTAAGATAGTCTTCAAGCCACTCAATGGTGTCAAGATCAAGGTGATTTGTAGGCTCATCTAACA